ACAAGGCCAGAACATAGAGCTCTGCTGGACAAGATCCACTCTACCTCTCTTGTAGTGGTAAGACCTCTGATTCCTTCCTGATTCCATTCCTATGGCTTTGTGCAACTCAGTCCGGATTGGGCGGCTTCCTAGTTGGATAGTCTAACACTGCAGAGACAGCAAGATCTCCTGATGCTCCAGGGTGCCGTTTGGAAAAACAAGGTGCCCAGGATTCTTCCCCAGCTCAGCAGGCTTGTATTAGTCATGAGGATATTGCAAAACGCAGGAAGAAAAGACTTTCCCAATTCAACAGGCAAATTTCTGAGCCACCAGGCCAGGGACAACCTGAATTCCAAATGAATCAGTCTGTCCAATGCCAGGATTTACTTGTCCAGAGTAAAATTGGGTAAATGAAGGATACCATCACACTTAGGATTTAGAACTGGAGAGAATAAGCCTGGGAACAGTTTGAAGCTTCTCCTGAGGGGGAAATACTGTGGTCTGAGCTGTGTCTAGGACCACAAATGATATGTTGGTTCCAGATTTAGTTTCTGGATGTTCATGTTTCATACAAAATGTTGCAATGTCTGAGCAGCAAAGACTACATTGCCCAGCAGAGCCAGAAACAACTGTTCCCTTAACAGGAGGTCATCTAAGTATCCCACAATAGTGATAGTAGTGCAGCGGGGCTAGTACTGGGTCCAGCAATTTTGTGAACTCCCGAAGGTACACACAAGCATAGCTCTGCAAAGATGGGGCTCTGCAAAGATTGAGACTTGCAGGTATGCATCCTTAAAGTAGAACTAAAAGCAAAACGTTTTCCCATTTTTTATAGAGTAAGGGAAGATTATAATCCTTGTTAGGTTTATTTTTGCCATAGTGTACTACTGGGGAGATTTCCATTCACTTTCTGTCCCACAGTTAAAACAGGAAGTGAAAATCCCTCTAAAAAGTGAGGGAACTCCTGGTTGTCACCCCGGGCTCCATAACTAGTGTCTCTCTTGAAAGATATCCCCCCTCTATTCTGGTTCTGTAAAAACCCCAAAATTTGGGTTTTCCTGTTTACTTTCACTTTCAGGCATAATGGTAAACATGACTGATAGACAGGGTGAATCACATGGGGGTATAGAAAGCATTAAAAATGTGATAGGTGTTCTAAGCCCTCTGCACTCTATCCAAAGAAAAAAAAAAAGTGTGCTTTTAGTTATACTTTAATATCCACAAAACGTAGGAAGTCTCCCTAGTGAAGAGAGATGAAAACAGACTTATTTGATTCCATGCAATATTTCTGAGCTCAAATGAAGACATTCAGTGCTTTCAAATCCAAAACAGGGTGGATGACCCCTTTGGGTTTGGGAATTGTAAACAGTTGGAAGTAAAATCTGCAAAACCATTCTGTCATAGGAACTGGGACAATGATGCCTTGAGAAGCCCAGAGAGTGCCCTACATAGGGATCTGCTAACCTGTGCAATGACACAGGAAGGTCAGAAGTTAGAAACCGTATGGGAATAAAACTGCAGCCCCTGGAAATTACCTTCCACACCCATAACCATCTCAGATGCAAACTGTCCAACTGTATGCAAAGCCTAACAGACGATGCCCTACTTTGAAAAGTGGAAACACCAAAACTGCATGCCAGAGGAAGGTTTGTCAGAGGGTATGGCAGATTTTGAGCCCCAAACTTCTGAGGTGGATTGGGTCCAAGCATGGGGTTTAGGACTTGGAGGATGCTGGAGTGAACTAACTAAATATATATTTTTTTTAAACCTCAAGTGAGGAATGAGCCTTCCCTCTCTGTGCCTTAATCTTCTTTGGCTGAGGTAGCTAGGTGCTCCTGCTACAAGTAGCATCCTTAATAATCCTATCCAGAGTAAATCTGGAGATGTTGTTCATTGAAGGCCATGAGGAGCAAGCACTTTTTAGGTACAGGTCCAACTGTTTAACAATGTATCTTCCTCATGTGTTCTGCCAAAAGACCCATGTGGGAGATGAAATGGGAAACCCCCATCAACCTGTCATTACTATGGCTTAAAGTGGTTATAAAGTCAAATCATTTTTTACCTTAATGCCTTCCTTGCCTTAAGGTAAAAAAGGTCCCACTACTTCTTCCTTTCCCCCCTCCTGCCTAACACATACCCGAGCCCTGGCTTGATCCAGCACTGTGCCCATCTGCAGCAGCGTTGATCTCTCTTCCATTTCTCACAGGAGAGAGTGAGAGCAGTGGGAGCCATCAGCTTCTTCTGTTGTCAATCAAATCCCACAGGAAGGGAATGGGGGCAGCGCTGAGCCATGCTGTGCCACAAGTATGCCCCCATAGCAAGCGGTTTGCTAAAGGGACAAACACATGTGCGGAGGAGTGGACATCTTTGGCAGGGGACTCAAGAAAAGGAGGTAAGGGGTCGCTCTGTGCAATACCATTGCAGGAAGACTTGGAACAGAGGGTGAACTTTGAACTTCTTTTTGTCTTAGGGGCTCTAGGGAACCCACGACTAGGGAATCCATGACTGGGAACAGCATTGGTAAAAGAGCAGGCTAGTCAAAACTATATCTATTTGGAAGTAATAGCAGAAGACTGCAACTTCTTGTAGCCAAGTTTGCTTAGTAGAGACCGGAGTGGCACTGAAGCAGAAAATTAGTTAGCAGCTGATGCCTCAGAGGTCACTATGGCTGCGGGCAGATCAAATACAGAATCCGCTGGGGAATTTGCAGGAGTGTGCTCATGGCGTCTGCACTCAGAATCAGCACATAACTGGATAAGTCCTGCACAACTGTAGCAAAAACGCAGAAGACAGGATAAACTAAAGAAGCAGAGGGCAACAAGACTCCAGGCTGCAGACATAAGCCATGTCAGTAGACATGCTTGCAGTACTAAAGCCATAGGTAGAGAATGAGTTGGGGGCACCAGATAGATTGGGACCATCTCTCATGGTAGCAAAATTGATGCTATCAAAATGATGCTAGACTTTGCTAGACTTTTCCCAGCAGAGCAGAAAAAAGGCATCCATCATCCTAGGACACTAGCAAAATTGTCCAACTATTCTATATCCAGTATAACCTGAAAGTTAAATACTTCTTGTGTCCCCCTGTTTATAGAACCAATTATGGTGACCACCAATAACATGCAATGCTTCTGAATTCTGAGGTCAGTGATGGACACCACATAGCTACTGGATGAGTTTCAAGAATAAGTACTGTAAAATCCCACGAAGTCCCACGTTACAAGGTATGTGAATACAAAGCTTAAAATTATGTCAGGGATACCACTGCAACTGACGTTCCAAAGAGGCATAAGAAGCCTTCTGAATATTCAGCACATTAGGCCACCTAAGGTTTATGGGTATACTGAACTTTCAATTATGTAAACAAAGATCATGTGAAGACTATACTTAATATTCAAAGCAGAAAATGGTGCAAATAGTTTATACACCCATATTATTTTATTTATGAGGTTAAAAGAAATGCTTGCAATGTGTACAAAAATACATGTTTCAACACTGCACAAACTCAGAAAATGCCACAGAATGTCCAAGTAACTATGCAAATGTAAAACACTTTTTTAGAAGGAAGATTATTGATCTTCATAAGGTCAAGAGTTACACTGTATAATGTAACAGTCTCAGGATGTTAGACATTAATGTCACACCCTCAGTGACATCCACTGTCATGCAGGAACAATCAGCTTTAATCTAACCCTGTTATACTTTATTTTTAAAACAAACAAAAGGCGTACAACAGGAATTGTCTCTTACCATTAACTGGTTTTATTGAAGTTGTTTAACCATACAGTACATCACTGAACCAAGCTTAGAAAATGCTTACAATTATTAATATGGATGAGGGATTTTTTTTTTTATTGTTAAAAAGGGGGCATGCCAGAACAGCTAATATAAGTGTTATGTAGGAAACTTGCACAATTCATGACAGCCTCAGCTAACAAGAGTGTAAGAGAAAAATAATGATATACATATTGATGTCATCTGCTCCAACAAATTTACAGCAATATGATGATACAAACTATTACTTTAAAACTGTAATGCCTTTATGCAGTGGCACATACAGCAATGGGAATAATTATTATCAACATACTAGCAGCTCATAAGAACAAAGCATGTAATTGCTAATATACGTTGGGGATCCAAAAATTACAACCAAATAAAAATATCTTCAGTAAAATGTACTCACTAAACTAGTCACTAAAATTCAAAGCATGGGAATAATATAAGAAAGAAGACATTTTGATTGAAATAGCAGCATCACTTTATTTCCATTGAAGTAAGTAAATGATACAGGTATGCACTTTAATAACCAGGTAGAGATAGCTTCTGAACTTCATCCATGTAGCTATTTACTGGTGGTCCAAATATGTCTCCTTGCTTTTCGTACTCTCAGTAGTGGCCAAGATGGTGTTTGTTATATTTAAGATTAATGATTGAATTAATCTTATATAACATATCCTAAGATGCTTGACTGTTTCTTAAAGAGGACTCCCCATAAATCTGCCATTAACCACTTGGCCTCCTGAAGATTTACCCCCCCTTCCTGACCAGGTCATTTTTTGCATTAGGATGCTGCATTACTTTAACTGACAACTGCGTGGTCATGCAACACCGTGCCAAAATTAAATTTACTTCATTTTTTTCCCACTAATTGGGTTTTCTTTCTGTGGTATTTGATTGCCTGTGCATTTTTTATTTTTTGCTCTATATATATATAAAAAAAAAAAAAAAACTGACAATCTTGAGAAAAAATAATATTTTGACTTTTTGCTATTAACTGCCTTCCGCCTGCCATATAGTAATATGACAGACGCAAGGTGGTTCTTTCGTTCTGGGAGGATGTCATGTAATGTCCTCCCATTCTAACCGCGCATGCGCAGCTCCGGGAGCACACAGCACGGCGATCGGCGCTGCGCTGTGTCCCTCGGACACAACGGATCACCGATCCACGGAAAGAGCCGAAGATGTCGGCTCGGTCATGTGATCAGCTGTGTCCAATCACAGCTGATCACATGTAAACAGGGGACATCTACACAGATCATCAGAGCACTGATGATCAGTGTGCCCTGATGATCTGTGTAGCCCCAGCAGCGCCACCTGTCAGTGTCCATCAGTGCCAGCTCTGTGCTCATCCATGCCACCTGCCAGTGCCCATCAGTGCCACATTTCAGTGCCCATCAGTGCCACATCAATGCCACATATCAGTGCCCATCTGAGCTGCCTTTCAGTGTCACCCTTCAGTGTCACCCATCAGTGCCAGTCAGTGCCACCTATCAATTCAGTCAGTGGTACCTATCATATCAGTGCTGCCAGTCAGTGCCGCCTATCAGTGTGCATCAGTGCCGCCTATCAGTGTGCATCAGTGCCGCCTATCAGTGCCCCCTAACAGTGCCAGTCAGTGCCACCTGACAGTGCCAGTCAGTGCTGCCTATCAGTGCCATATATGAGTGATGCCTGTCAATGCCCCTCAGTGCCACCTACCAGTGCCTCCTCATCAGTGCCCATCAGTGCCACCTATCAGTGTCCATCAGTGCAGCCTATCAGTGCCCATCAATGCAGCCTCATTAGCGCACATCAGTGAAGGAGAAAAATCACTTATTTACAAAATTTTATAACAAAAACTAAGAAAAAACTTTTTTTTTCAAAATTTTCAGTGGCTTTTGGTTTGTTTAAGAAAAAATAAAAAACCCAGAGGTGATTAAATACCACCAAAAGAAAGCTCTGTCTGTCACAAAAATATGATAAAAATGTCATATGGGTACAGTGTTGCATGACCGTGTAATTGTCATTCAAAGTGCAACAGCGCTGAAAGCTGGAAATTGGCGTGGGCAGGATGGGGGTATAAGTGCCCTGTAGGCTAGTGGTTAAACATGTCCAGTAAAAAAATATCAAATGTATTCTGCTATATGTCTTTGCTAAAAAAAATCCCAATACATCTAAATTAATTGGTTTACTTGAAAGTTATTTTACAAATGGCGGTTATATACTTGAATTTTTTTCTTTTTATAGCATTTGCATCAGGGATTATAACGGGAGTGCAGGTAGCGGACATTCTGACACTGGGGAGGAACTGACTGGTGTCACTGACATTTTTCAGTGCTTTTTCACTAGCAATGGCTGCGGCATTAACAGGGACAAAGGGTTAACTGTGTGCAACGGGTAAGCACACTGCTTTGGATAGCTGTGCTGTGCACAGCCAGCCAAAGCGGTGTGCCTGACACTGGGGGGGAACTGACTTGTGTCACACACTGTTTTTTACATTCCCTCCACCTAAAAGATTTCAGTGACAGTTTATAGGTCCAATACATGATGATCAGTGCTAAAAAAAAAAAAAAAAAAAAAACAGCATCTGACTTACTGTACTAATGGCACTGGGGCAAAAAAGTATTTAGTCAGCCACCAATTGGGTTCTCCCACTTTAACATGGCAGGTGTGAGACAAAATCAAATCCAAACAATCACATTGGGTTAACTGGTGTACGAAGATTTCTGGCTCTCACAGCGTGAGCCCTCTGTCCTGCAGATCGGCACCTGTTTGAGGGAGATTATCAGTGGTCTTGTATGTCGAAGGACACCAGAAACAAAATTCTTCCCAGCTGGGTAGGTCTACAATTTTGTTTGGTCTGAGCAAAAATGTCCTTCAACAGGCTCTTTGGCCTTCACCATAGTGGAGTTAGGAGTGTGACTGTTTGAGGTTGTGGACACAGGTGTCTTTTATACTGATAACAAGAAGTTCAAACAGGCTGCCATTCAGTGATGTGCACGACAGTGGTAGCCTGCTGCCATTGATACAGGTAATCCAAAGAACACCATGAGTGCAGGGCAGAGGAGCCTCTTAAAGGTCCTGGAAGAAGATAACCCCATAGAAAACCTTTGTCCGTGTTGAGAGCAGAAATCATTGCTTGTTTGTAGGTGACCAAATACTTAACCTTTTTACAGAAAACGTTTGACCCTGTCAAACAAAGGATTTAACAAATCAATTGACTTTATTTTCCACCAAATTTGCAAATAAATTCCAATGTGATTGTCTGGATTTTTTTTCTCATTTTGTCTCTCATAGTTGAAGTCTACCTATGATGCCAATTACAGGCCTCTCTCATCTTTTTAAGTGGGAAAACTTGCACAATTGGTGGCTGACTAAATACTTTTTTGCCCCACTGTAGATGCTGAGTTGAGAAGGAAAAAAGGTAAGCGCTCGGACTGAACTGTCAGACTAGATATGGGGGGTTTGATTGCAACAGCCACATAAGAAAACTTTAAAAGTAATACAAGCAGCATTAAACATAAAAAACCATGATAAACTGACAGATACATGAATTATATTGAAAAAATGAAGTAATTAGGTTATTGTTAATATCCTGATGTTAAATTAGTTAAAAGTATTCGGAATGGACTGTAAAAACAAAGGGGCAGTGTTGTAGGGCAGTGTACAGTGGGTTCTCAAGGCAGTGTACGGGTCAGCAGGGAAATGTACAAGTGGTCAGTATGGCAGGGGACAGGGGTCAGCAGGGCAGAAGACAGTGGTCAGAAGAGAAGAAAACAGTGGTCAGAAGGGCACTGTACAGGAGTTAGTAGGGCAGTGTACTGGGGGTCAGTAGGGCAGTGTACTGGGTGTCAGCAGGGTAGAGGATGGGGTCAGTGAGGCAGTGTACAGGAGTCAGCAGAGAAGAGGACTGGGTTTACTGGTGGCAGATAACACAGCAGAGCTCCTACTTCCATCCCCACACTGCAAAGCCTGGGCACTCAGCCAATCTCTTTTTCTCCACACAGAACACCGCTCGGATCGGATTTCCTTACAAACAGTCTTGATCTGTACAGTTTGTAGCTGGCAACTGCAGCTGTGTTGCCACTCAGATCTGGGAATGTCACGGATCAGAACTGTAACATAGCAGCCAGCTTCACACTATGTAGATTGAGGCTGCGTCTGTAAGGGAATCCGATCTAAGCTATGCATTGCGTGGGGAGGAGATCTGTTGAGTGCCTTGTGTGTAGTGCGGGAAGTGCTGGGACAACATCATCTAGCCCCTGAAGTGTACGCATCCTGTCTCAGCATAAATACCTCCCCATCAAAAAAAAAAAAAAAAAGACCACTAATTATCACACTCTCCCCCTAAGCATAAATTCTGTCTGCAAGCTAAAATGCTTTCCCCCCAAAAATGCAAACATTCCCCCTACTCCCAGGTTCAAATCCACCCTCCCAGTACAAATCTTTGCCCCCCAATTCTGTCTCCCAGCTCAAATTTTATCTTTGTTAGTAAAATATGGAAAACAAATCTTAGAAAGATCTGAATTAAAAAAAACCCCAAAAAACAAAGATAAAGAACATTATTGTTTTATTATTACTGGCTTCTTTTCCCTTGGTATCTGCACACATGCCATTCTGTTTGTTTTATCAAGACTCGGCTGATTGGCCAAATTTAAAACTCTCATCCAACTCCAATCCACCGCCTGTTTACTGGCTTTTTACCATCTGTAATAAAGTTGCTCCTGCCCCATGATTGGCTGTATACAAATGGAGAAACAGAAAAAGGGCGCACCGACCTAGTGCATTATCGTTTAAAATAATTTAATTGAAAAAAATAGATATCATACTCACAATGGACATAATAACACAGGCATGTAAAACTGAACAAGATGTATGATCCAAACAACATCTGAGTCCATACGATGGAACCCTGGATGACCAACTGGCTAATGCATTTCGAGGACACAACCTCTTCCTCAGAGCCCTCTGAGGAAGAGGTTGTGTCTTCAAAATGCGTTAGCCAGTTGGTCATCCAGGGTTCCATCGTATGGACTCAGATGTTGTTTGGATCATACATCTTGTTCAGTTTGACATGCCTGTGTTATTATGTCCATTGTGAGTATGATACCTATTTTGTTTCTTCAATTAAATTATTTTAAACGATAATGCACTAGGTTGGCACGCCCTTTTTCTGTTTCTCCATTTGTATCCAGTGTATTTGGACCACCCCGGTCTTTTGAGGGCAGCAAGCAGTGCATATTCCAGAAAATACCAGAACATTCCTATTGGGTTTACTGAGTCCTTTCCTAGCGCAGGAGTAAAGTGTTTGTTGTGTTTGCCATGATTGGCTGTACTTGACAAAGGAGGTGGGGGCCTCTGAAACGCATTGTACACTCCCCCTTACAACCCCCAAAGTATGCCTAGTTCGTTGAGGATGGCCGGTTTCATGCTGCTGTTGTTTCATCTTCACAAGGTGGGTCCAGCTTTAGCATTTGACAGTTTTTGGTCCATACCACACTATCCATTCCATCTACATCCAAGAGGAATCCTTCTAGCTTGAATATAAGTGTGGATATTTGTTTTTGCAATAAATGATACAATGTTTTTAATTTCTGCTCTTTGGCTACTTTGTGGTTTCCTACATGCTACTGAGGAGCCTTCCCTGATCTAGCTGTGGGACATCCTTAGAGCTTCTCATCCATCCCTTCATCCATCCACCTTCCAACGAGCACTGCCGGTCACTAAGACTGCTGACCATCAATTAGCTCTGGAGCTACACTAATAGGAATAAGTATGCTTCACATCCGTGTGACTTTTCTTTACTTGTTTACTTGAAGGCCACTTGCAATTCAGAGAGCTGAGAGACTCTTTTTCTTCAAGATAATAGTGTACCAGAATATGCACAGTAAATGCCTTAAATCATGGCAAAAGGGAAGGGGATACTGCAAGATTTGAGAAGGAATACTGGATAGATGTTCAGATTTTGGCTACAGATTAATCTAGAAACGCAAATACCTGTTCTGATGTATATCAGACATGGATTAAAGTAAGCCTGCAAAGGTAAATATTGAGGCTGATATTGCTTTCCTACTTCTAAAAATGCTAGTTGCCACCAACTGAAATACTTTTTGGAGTACAATCCTGACACAAGCATGCAGAAAGTAAAGTCAAACTGAAGCCAGAACTGTTGTTCGGTTTACTTGTTCCAGGTCAGTGACAGGTCAAAAAGTATTGCAGTTATTGAATGAGCATGCCATGACAGACAATTAGTATTTACAGAAGAATGGACCAACATTGGCAGTCTATAGTACATGTTCCCGCAATAGGCCCCTTTTACATGGGGCAGAATTCCCTTGCTCAGTGGGGGATCAGTCTGCTGATCCCCCGCTGAGTGGGCTAGATGGCAGGTCCATGTCCGCTCAGATTATGCAGAGCAAACACGGATACAGCCTGCTCTGCTCTATGGGCGCTCAGATGTAAACAAACCGGCTGTCCGTTTACACCCAACTGCCCTTCAATCCACCCAGATGGAGGAGGAGCAGATCCCTTTCCATTTGTTTTTAGTGGAACGAATGTAGATGGGTGTACACGGACACAAGTCCCTTTACATCTGCCTCTCCATAGAGGAGAATGGAGGGTCCAGTAGGGTCAGATTTGACAAATAAACATATACATGACATACACAGAGATTCTGTTTTCATAATCCCAAATATATTATAAAAGAAAAAAATGCCCATGCCAAATGACCAATCCGATCTAAAAATTAATATGATGTGTTCAGTAGATTGGAACATAGCAAAGATATGTATAATATATTTTGGAAAGTTGTTGACCACTTGCCACCAGCTAACAGTAAATATACTGCTAGTGGACAGAACAGCCAGGCATGGCCACGTACTTCTAACCTGTGCTGTGATTGGCTACAGCATAACTTTGTCAGCAGGTTTCAGGCAATGATTTTGGCTGTGAATCTGCAAAATGGCTGTAGCCAATCACAGCACAGCCCTGTGTCTTGTTTATAACCACAGACACAGGATCTGGCCAGTTCTGCTCTCCCTTGGCCCTTTTCATTCAGGGAGAGAAGAAAATCAGACCTGTGTGAGTAGAAGCAGCACATATACACTTGCATACACTTGTTAGCCACGTTTAACCCTTTGACTGCCCTCCAGTTAACCCTTTGATTGCCCTGTCACCAGTGTTATTAGTACAGTTTTACACTAAGCTGTCACTTTAATGGGATGTTTCTCACACATTCCATGGATATTCGTAGATTTACACCCAAAAACACAAAAAAATGAAAAAAGAAAATAGAAATACATTTTCGATTTCTTTCCTCATTTTCCAAAAACGTTTGACAGTAAATGAGATCTGCGAAATACTCATGGTTCCTAGCAAATACCGTGAGATGTCTACTTTCCAAAAAGGGGTCATTTGGGGGTGCTGGTACTATGCTGGCATTTTAGGGCCTCCAAAACTGTGATAGGTAGTTTGGAAGTCAAAAGAGGAAGTTACAGCCTTTGAAAGCCTGAAGCTGTTCATTGGTGTTAGGCCCCGGTAAGTGGCTAGGCTCCCAAAAAGTCTCACATATGTGGTATGTCCATTCTCAGAAGTAACAGAATGTGTTGTGGTGTAATTCCAAATGTACCCATGGCATGTGTGAAAAATCTCATTAAAGTGACAACTTTAATGTGTAAAAAAGGAGTAATTTGGGGGATGTTTATACAGTTCTGGCATTTTAGCACCTCAAGAAATGTAATCGGTAGGGTAAATTCCAGTATATATACCAAAGTTTGTAGACACTATATCTTTCTTTCACACAAACCAATTAATATAAATGGTTTTTCTTTTTACCAAAGACATGTAGCAGAATACATTTTGGCCTAAGTTTATGAAGAAATTTATGAAGAAATTTGATTTTATTGAATATGTTTTATAACAAAGTTGAAAATATCTTTTTTTTCCAAATTTTATATAATTAAAAATAAAAAACCCAGTAGTGATCACATACCACCAAAGAAAGCTCTATTTGTGCGAAAAAAATGAGTGTTCCATGACCAAGCAATTGCCAGTTAAAAAAAACAGTACAGTGCTGAATAGCAAAAAATGCTCTGTTCATGAAGGGGTTAAAACCCTTCCCGGAGGTCAAGTGGTTAAGTAGTAGGTTATTTACATGATTTCTCCTCAAATCTGCATGTGTATAATTTGCCAAATATGAAGTATCAAAGTGTGATTGTTTCCTTTCTATAAAAGTAAAATATGTAGCTACAGATACACTATGCTGTATATTTAATCAACAGTGAAACCAAGCATAACTACTATTGTGTGTTCTTTTATCTGAAGGCTACAGAAATGTTATGGTAACAATAAGCTGGAAATCCACTTTTTTACATTATTTTTGGAAAATGTGAAAGAACCTATATATTTCCTCCAACATGACTCACCTTCTGACAGTCTCTTTAATTCTCCTTTCCCATCTTCAATTTCTTTTTTTAGCTTTTCGTTTTCTGCTTTAATAGTCTTTTCATTTTTGCCAACTTTATTTGATTCCAAAATCTGCACAATGAAAGAAAGCTTATTTATCTGTAATATGTTTTATGTCTGGTAAATGTAAAAACAAGCACCTCCTGGTGCCTACAACTAGGCAGGGATATCAGTTTAAAAAGATAAAAAAGACTGACAGGTTTGGCTAAACCACTACTGTCTCATTACGATAACTTTGCCTGTTCCCATTACTTTTATTGGTGTTTTTGTGGTGTCACAATCCAATAACATCCAACGGTTATGGCTTAAAATAACTTGCCAGGATGACTGTTGTCTGTCTAAGCCAAGGTCACTGCCTCACTCCCAAAAGTGGTTTCAGTTCTGGGGCAAAACATAACTTTATAGCACCATTCCCCCAGTAATGTGCCATCGCAGAACTAGCACCACATTACATTAAAAATTCCAACTTCTTATCTGCTTTCCATGCATGCACAAAGGAGGAGTAATTTCAGCTATATGGCCTATTCCCCATTTCAACCAAATTTTTTAGTGGCATACACATGCCGTGGCCACTGTAAGTTTAACTAAATCACTCACTGAAGTCAATAGGAGCAACAACGGAGTTAAATGCTTGGCTCATGGTTTGGGCAGGATACCAGGTGCAAAATCCAATTCAGGAGATGGCAGTATCACCATAGATCGCTTTTGAGGGGGCGGTAGACACTGTCATCCATGTAAACAAGGACTAAGAGGAGAAAATTCTAAAACAATTTACCTTTTTTAGTTCATCATTGTCTTCCATGTGCTTTTTGGCAGCTTCATTAATCCTCTCTACTTGTGTTTGCAAAGCATCATTGCCATCTATCACCGATGCCAGCTGATTTATCAGAGATACGACACGACGCAGAACACTGCAAAGCATGTAACGATAACTATTGATAGCCAGGCAATTTTTCAAGACATTTATTCCATGTGGTGACAGAGATCCCCCTGCGCTAATATGGAACCTAATTTCTATATGCTGTTAACACCCTATCCTCTACCTATACGTGGACAAATATAGTCACTTTATTTGGTTTATATCCCAATTTTGGGATACACTTTATACATCATTCACTTTATTTGTGATCATATCCCTTATTTTGGGATCCACTGCATATAGCACCTAGTCTTTTGGGGTTTGGTCCCAAGTGGGACTGGGTATTGTCACTGTATGAGGGTCCGGGCATAGGACCAGCTTCATCTTATGCACTTTGTGTTCTGATAATATCACAGTTTGAGACACTGTTTTTCTAGATCTTGAAAGACCTATCACTTATATATTTATATTCATTCATTTATGTAATTTATGTTTTTTATCTTATTATTGTGGAGTTTGCACATTTAGTTATCAGCGCTACACCACTATTATATTTTATCATTTATTCCATGTACGTATCAGAAGGAGCAAATAAAAATAATAATTTTAGGTGCCAAATGTGAAAAAAACTATATGTATATCTAAGATATGAAATATGAAGCTGCCCCTAATATGGTGGATGACCACGCTGGTGCAAAATGTATATTGTAAATAGGTAGGTGCTACATATAAATATTTGAAATGTGCAAGTACTTAAGAAGCTAGGATCATTACATGCCCCTCAATAAAACCATTATAATTGAATAGATTCTCAGAGTAAATGCTAATTTTCCACAACCTATACAAAAACATATATACCGGACTTATATTTATTGTTTTTTGGTATATGTTTTCTATATAGGTTGTGGAAATTTAGCATTTACTCTGAGAATCTATTCAATTATAATGGTTTTATTGAGGAGAATGTAGTGATACTAGCTTCTTAAGTACTTTACCAAAAGGTGTGTTCCATGCACTCTTTAATTTAATTAAAAACTATTGGGCAAAAATAAATATATTTAAACCTCACCAGGGATTCCTATACACTGTGTTGCTACTCCTTCCTGTCTACTGCTCAACTTTGATTAGACATACTGCTAGTCACAGTACGTAAGTACTTTAGAAGCCATAAAACCCCAGTTAGGAAATGGATAACAACATGTATATTTATTTGGATACTTTGCATAATGTCCATAGACAGCAATACTTTTGAAACAGACTTTTTCTTTAGGAACCATATAATGTTCTGTTCATGTATCCTGCAACTCTTCTACAGCTTCTACTTTCTGCTTCTTCTTTCCCACTTCATTTAAAAAAGAAAAAAAAAAAAAACGAGAATGCAGATTTGTATGAGATACTTACAGCCACAGAAAGAGAGAGAATCCGGAGATGTACAGATTCCGCTGAGATCTGAACAGCTTCATATGGATGTGATCGTAAGAACTAGGATGAACACTTGTCGTCTTGTCAATTGTTGGACTTGAAGAGTACTTTCTAACCTCTCTTACAGCATCTGTAAGTTAAAAATGAAAATGGCATATACTCCTTTTGTCTTTTGGAGTGGTTGATTGCAATAGTAACAGCATTTAAAATTAGGATGCCACAAAAGGATAGCCCAACTAGACCAGACCTTAAATCTGCCTCTCTCTCAAAATGTAGATTTCGAGGAGGGAGGGCATTGCAGGTGTATATTTGTTAGTGTAGTTTTGGTTGAACTGATAATGGGATAACTGGTAAGCTTGCAGGAGCCACGAAAGTGGTGTGTGCAGCCTTGTAAATACATATTTGGAGAGTACTTCTGTCACCTTGCAGGTCTGTGGGCAGAGGTGGTTGCACTTGAATGCTCTGGGTAGGCTCAAATCTAGATAATCTGTGTTTAACTTCTAAATAGTGAAGTAGGTTTGCGACACAAAACCAAAAAAATAAAATCATCAGGTAGCAGAGGCAGCCAGTGGAACTGCAATGTATCTGAGCACCACAAACCAGAAGCGCTATTTAATTTATTTTTAATATTAAAAGCAAACTCACCCATCCATCCATGTCTCCATAATTTATTTTGCTGAGAAATCACTTTGAAAAACACCCCTTATCATTTCTGACCGTGGCCATCTAGAGTAACGGCAAATGATTTATGTGGCATTTACTTCCTTGAATCCATCTGCCCTTAGCTCAGACATGCAGGTAGGAGGGTGTGCTTAGCTGAGAAAACCCCTCCTCCTCTCCTGAAGACTCCTGGGATGTACAACATAATTTACCTAGAACTTAAGAAGTAACTAAGGTAATGTAAAAAAAACCTGTTTAAAAACAAGTAAATATACTTTCCTATCTATTTACTAATACTAGCAGCATAAGGATTCAAAATAGTCAATGTTGATTGAAATGGTACATCTCAGAATTCGCTGACTTCATTAAAAGGTGGATTTTACACCATATAATGCATTTCATGGCTATTCATCGCCAATTCTTCAGACGTGTTGTAACACAGACTTGTTTAGGCTGACTTGCAGGGCATGGTGAACCAATGCGAATTAGCCACACATTTTGATTCACCACTGAGTGCTCTGCAAGTCAGCCTAAAAAAAGCCTGCATTATACTACATCTGAAGAAGTGGCAGTTAGCCACAAAACACATTATATGGTGTTTAATAGTATTTATCCTTAAAGTCGATGACCTCCCAAGATATATCTTTTCATGTGACCTGTATGCCTCAGCTACCCATAGTTTTTTTGTTTTTTTTTTTTTCTTTCCGAAAACTGATAGACCATTTTTTTTGGGCTTTCCTCAATGGTAACAATGAGTGCTGCTAGACAAGGCAAGGAGATAGTTAACTGCACATGCACCACTCCTCTTCATTAGATGCAGTGTTATGCAATGGACACCAAGCAGTATCATGCAAGACCCATAGACATGAGATTGACAACCAATCTGGCTGAAAGTAGCAAGACTGAGTAACCATTCTCTCATATCTTGGAGTAACATAAAAGAAACAGATAAGGGTAACAACGGAAACCTGTTCTAAAAAGCACCCACAGGCTGCCATTCCTGACCTATCCTACTTTAAATGACTAACCTGGAACAAACATGCAGAAGAGGTATTATGGACTCAATGATTGCATGATTGTTCCAGGTCAGAGGACTCAATAAGTATTATAGTTAGGGACAACTAGGCAGCTGGCATTTCAGAAAGGAGTCTGCAATGGCTGCATCATGAAGATTCATATTATTGAAGGTAGAAATGTCTGCAAGTATAAGTCTACATCATTCATTGCTATTCAGAAATCACATAGCAAGCATTGTGAAGTTTCAGAGTTCTAACAAGCTCCTTCCTCAGGCAAACAGTGATGTCACTCTCAACCTGAGCAAACAACTTAGAGCTCTTAAATGTTGCACTGCTTGTTATGTTACCAATACATCGTTCATGGCTGACCATAGGATGTGCTGGTGACCTCTATGTGAAATAAAAACAAACAATGGCAACATCTGTCACGTGAAGGTTGAGAAACTGTTTGGAGTGCACCATTCCCTGCTATTCCACACTTTTCTCAGATTTCAGCTGCCTATGTAGACACTCTAACGTTATCTTCATTTGAAATATCAGTTGGTGTGTACACAGCAATGCACATTTAGCATCAAGCAAGCCTTTCAGGTTTACTGAAAAGTACAATTTTGCCATCCTCTAGTGTCTTTACCAAGAAAAAAAAATGTAAAATTGTACTAAATTCTCCTTCTAACTAATGGTGGACATTGTTGGCAATATAGCTTGTGTCATTTTATTATCTGATCTCTTCAAACCTTGTTGAGATTAAAAATATTAAACTCCTGTAACTAATCTCAAAATTGATCAGGCAAGCGCACGTTAAAAGGTAAAGTGTAGTGTATTTTCAGTTAAAGCCTGCCTCCAGACAAACCTGCTTTATTATAGAATGGGTAATTAATAAATGGTTGTTTTTTTATTGCTGTTTTGTGACCCCCATTGGATTATTGCCCTCACTTTTCCCAGGTGCCAAAAATAGGGGAAATGAGGCTGTTAGTATGATGAGCAGGTACTGACAACAATAAAAATCTCATAGCAATTTTAACCTTGCCCCTCTTTACCAATGCCTTTTTGTTGCTGACCCTGTCCTCATTGGAAAAAACGCTTTATAAAATTCTTGTCCCTCTTTTTTAAAATTACCAAAAAACTGTTCTGAAACTAAAATAAGGAGTCCTGCATGTAAATATGTTTTCAGAGCAGCGACTTTTTTTTTTAGTTTTGTGTGGGGGGGTTTTTTTTTTTTGGGGGGGGGGGGGGGGAACTACTTTAGGAAAAAACTATGCCTAGTGGAATTCTTTAAACCAGCCACCTACCAAAAAAGGTACCTGATTTTTAGAATGCTGATTGGAAATTTTACCTAATAAAGAAGAAACATTGGACTTTTGCCATGAAGGTTAGTCCGCAAATGGATCAGGAATAGATACAAACTAAATTTGCTTCCACAAGTTTTCAGAGGCATCTGCTATCTCCTTGTCTAGGGGTATTGCTATAAAATTCAAGTAGGTACAGTAAGTAACATTTTCTTCTAGCAGAAGTCTGACTCTAATGTTTTTGCTGTGATTCAGATCCTAGCATACACATATAGCATCAAAAATAAGCAATGTACAATTTTCATAGCTTTCAATAATATTTGTCAATTTTCAAAGTTTCCCCTTACATCCGGTGAATCCATCATAGTGTCCCCTTGCATCAGGTGACCTCATCAAAGTGCCCTTTACTTCAGATGTCCTCATCAAAGTGCCTCTTACTTCAGATGTCCTCATCAAAATGCACCCTTACATCAGGTGTCCTCATCAAAGTGCCCCCTTACATCAGGTGTCCCCATCACTGTGCCCTGCTACCGTTAAGTACCAGGTGGGCACAGGATGGGAGTGCCACTTCCATCCTTTTGTGAAGCTGGGGGCAGGACAGGCACATGACGTCATTGGTTGTTAGGACCTAAAAACCAATCAGTGCAGAAGACAAGCATTCGCACTGAAAAACTGGCTGGTTGGCGGTCTGGATAGAACTATCACTCAGTCTGGACCTCGGTTCATCATTTAGTGATGCCTGCCCTAGTCTGACAGAGTTCCAAAGAGACAGTGGAATAATACTATAAGCTGACTTTAGCGAGTATCCTTACCCTTGTTACTCAGTATCATATTAATTTACAGAGCTAGAGGACAGAAGAGTAAGGTAAGACACTGCAGCAATAAACAACAAGGTATGTTGCTGCAATACAGGTAAAAGTTACAAAAGGACATTGGGCACAGTTTTTTATGTGCCTATCAAGGGCAGGGAGAGGTGTGACAGCTCCAGCACGCACGCTTCTTTTGTGTTTAGTAAACAGAAATGTTCCATGTAAAATTAAGCTAACAGTAACATCAGAGTATATCATCCTCTTTAGAAAAAAGCTGAAATCTTAGTTCAGTATGCCAGACGTCAAATTCTTTTCATCTTTAATGTACATCTTTAATGGGTGTAATATGGGAGCCTTCAATATCTCTAAATTGCAGACCAAAAAAAAGCCTGCAGCAAATGAGTGTCAAGGAAAAGTGGGAACTCCTTACATCTACAGTGGATATAAAAATTCTATACACCCCTGTTAAAATGTCAGGTTTCTGTGATGTAAAAAAAAATTAGACAAAGAAATAATTTCAGAACTTTTTCCACCTTTAAATGTGACCTATAAACTGTACAACTCAACTGAAAAAAAACCTGAAATCTTTTGGGGGGGGGGGGGGGGGGGGGGGAAACATAAAAAATTAAATAATGCAGTTGCATAAGTGTGCACACCCTCTTATAACTGCGGATGCAGCTGTGTTCCTCTGATTAACCCCAATTAAAGTTCAGCTGTTCTAGTAGGTCTTTCCTGACATTTTCTTAGTCGCATCCTACAGCAAAAGCCATGGTCTGCAGAGAGCTGCCAAAGCATCAGAGGGATCCTCATTGTTAAAAGGCATCAGTCAGGAAAAGGGTACAAAAGAATTTACAAGGCATTAGATATACCATGGAACACAGTGAAGACAGTAATTATCAAGTGGAGAAAATATGGCGCAACAGTGACATTACCAAGAATTGATGAAAAGACAAGAAGAAAACTGGTCTGGGAGGCTGCCAAGAGGCCTACAGCAACATTAAAGGAGCTGCAGGAATATCTGTCAAGTACTGGCTGTGTGGTACATGTGACAACAATCTCCCGTATTCATCATATTTCTGGGCTATGGGGCACAGTGGCAAGACAGAAGCCTTTTCTTACAAAAGAAAAAACATCCAAGCCTGGCTAAATTTAGCAAAAAACACATCTGAAGTCTCCCAAAAGCACGTGGGAAAATGTGTTCTGGTCTGATGAAACCAAGGTTGAACTTTTTGGCTATAACTCCAAAAGATATGTTTGGCACAAAAACAACACTGCACATCACCAAAAGAACACCATACCCACAGTGAAGCATGGCGGTGGCAGCATCACGTTTTGGGGCTGTTTTTCTTCAGCTGGAAC